TTTTTTTTTTGGTACCAGGGATCAAACTTGGGTCCTTGAGCTTGCGAGGCAGGCGGTGGAACCACTGAGCTAAATCCCAGGCCCTAAAATTTTTTTTAATAAACTAAAAATCAAATTCTTGCCTTTTAATTCATATCAAGTATTCGTTCAGGCAGACTGTCTATAACTAGAAGTCGGTGCTTAAAAGATTCCTTCTCAAAGAGGCCTAACTTAACCACTTTATTTTAAAACTGCTGGGTTGGGGATTTACCTCAATGATGCCATGCATGCCTTGCAAGAGCAAGGTCCCGAGTTTGATTCCCAGTACCAAAAAGCCCCCTACCAAAAAACAAAACAATGCAACCACACAGGCACTCTGGGTTCCCCTCTCCCTTGTTTAAACTATTTAAACTATTATTTAACTTTTTCCATAGCAGCTCTCACTAAATATGCTAAGCAGCTTACTTTTTATTTATTGTTTTGTGTCTCCAAGCAGAATATGTATTCCATCTTTGTCCAATGTTTCAAAAGCCTTGTACCTGGGGCAAGGAGTAGGTACAAAGGCCTGTATATTTATTTTGTTTGTTTGTTGTTGTTGTTGTTTTTGGTACTGGGCATCGAACGCTGGTCCTTGCGCTTGCAGGGCAGGCAGCGGAACCACTGAGCTAAATCCCAAGCCCAAGGCCTGTATATTTGAGCTCTATTAAAATATAGTAGCTTCAAGGTTACAATGTGAACAGGTGGAGATTACTTATTGGAGTTGGGGCGTGATGTCAGTGAACTATAATCTCACATTTCAACATAAAAGAACATACTAGTATTAGTCTAAAGATTTTACTTAATAACCTGAAAATCAGAAATCTGTAAATACCATCCTTTGCATAACTAAAAGGCTGTAGCCTAAACTATTCCTTATTTTCGGCAGACCATTCTTATGAGTCAGTGTGTCAAACCTCTTGAAGAAACTGTATCTTGACCAAAGTAAGTCAAATTAATGGATATAATATCTAAGACTTGCCCATTCACGAGTAATACCTGATAAATACTAACAGCAATTTTGTTGAACTACAAATGACAATTGCTTGGCTGGTTTGAATGGTATTATATTTGTAAGTAGGATGTGGCAGATCATAAGCAAGAGCTCCCACTATAAAAACTAAAATGCTTAGATAAATTACAAAAATCATGTTTTTGGAGATGTGGGAGAGCAGCGGAAGCTTCAAAGACAAAATGACTGAAAGTCTAAAAGGTCTTTCCTTCCTGGCACACTTCCCCATGTTGATTCAGGAGGACTCTACTGGGCAACAGAGAACCACCAGAGCACAGTTAATTATGTGCAGATATATGGTGTGTACACTAGACACAGGACTGGCACTATCAATTAGAAACTATACAAGTCTTCAACACAGAGTTGATTTTCCTCACGTTTCCTGAGTCCTAAGGAGGAAGTTAGGACACTGTGAAGCAATCTAAAAAAAAAAAAAAAGAGTAAAATCTGTGTGGCTCTGCCTGGTGTGGTGGCACATGCCTGTAATATTAGCATTATGGGCAGGCTAGTATTTCAGGAGGATTGAAAGCCCAGCCTAGGCAAGAGGAGATCCTGTCTCAATCAGTCAATATTTTTTTTAAAAAAACTGTTTTCAAACCTCTGAAAAAATATCTGAATTAAGAGTAAGGAAACTGCCAAGCTCTAAACTAAAAGTCTGAGAGGGCTATGCCTAAGGAACAGAGATAAATTGGAGGTGAACTGATTAAAATGGCTGTTCAGCTCTGATTACAATTACAAACTGGATTAAAACAATCAATTTAGTTTCATTTACTTGCCTAATAGAAGTTGAATCCCTGTCCAGAGAGAAAACTGTTACCTACGTGCTTCCTTTATAGGTAATGTCCAACAATCAACATTTACATTTTTGGGCCGGGGATTTAGCTCAGTGGTTCTGCCGCCTGCCTCGAAAGCGCAAGGACCTGAGTTCGATCTCCGGTACAAAAACAAAACAAAACAAAAAAAAATTTACATTTATAAGACATGAAAAAAGGCAAAAAATTATGACTAAATTCAATAGAATGCCCAACCCAATATGAGCAGACCCACAAACAATCCAGTTTGTAGTTGACGATTTTAATGTAACTACTATAAGTAGTTATGAAATGAATTATATCATAAGCACAACTGATTAAAGAAAACCAAGAGGTTCTTGCTTTCTTCCTACAATCTGTACTAACATAAAGGCAAAGAATAAAGAGGAAGAAAGGCTTAAGAGATGTTTAGAATGAAGAATCAAGGGCTGGGGATTTAGCTCAGTGGTTCCGCTTGCCTGCCTCACAAGCATAAGGACCCAAGTTTGATCCCCAGTACCAAAAAAATAAAAATTAAAAAAAAATTAAAAATCAGAAAGAGAAACAAATTTGAGAAATACAAATTAAGGCAAAGAATAAAGAGGAAGAAAGGCTTAAGAGATGTTTAGAATTAAGAATCAAGGGCTGGGGATTCAGTTCAGCGGTTCCGCTGCCTGCCTTGCAAACACAAGGACCTGAGTTCCATCCCCAGTACCAAAAAAAAAAAGAATGAAGAATCAATTAAATCTGAGTTAACAGTGTACTGTATGTAAATAAATAAAGTATATGATAAAATCCAGGCTTCTATCTTGAAAAACTGACTCATCACTCACAAGAGATAAGACAAATGGAAAGCATTTGCATTCATATCAAAATTTGTTTATTTTGGAAGAGACATCTCTCTATATATGTTTTATAATATCTAACCTATAAATACATTTACATAAGGCATGGTGGTGTGCACCTGTAATCCTGGCACTTAGGAGGCTGGGGCAGGAGGATTGACTGCTGTGAGTTGGAGACCAACCTAGGCTACATAGTGAGTTCAAGGCTAATCTGAACTACATGGTGAGACCCTTTCTCAAAAAACCAAAAACACACACATCTGCCTGCAAGTATTCTGTGGTTAACAGAAAACATAGATCCTCTGCATATCAAATCAGAAACTATACCTGTAAATCTAGTTAAGAAATATACTGAAGAATGATACCAAAATATACGCCATTAAAAAGAGGTGGGGCTGGGGATTAGTTCATTGGTTCCACTGCCTCCCTTGCAAGGTCCCAAGTCCAATCCCCAGTACCAAAAAAAAAAAAAAAATTGGTTAATTACTTTTTTTGGTACTGGGGATCGAACTCGGGACCTTGCACTTGTAAGGCAGGCGTCATGATCAATTAATTTTAAAAAGGGAAACTGTATCCACCATTCTTTTATATTTCATAGGCACTGTCCATGTACTAACCAAATTAACTCAAAAGCAGATATATCAATTAAAAAATTCTGTACCGTGAAAAACAGAATTCTAATTGTTTCTTCAGGCATTCTTTTAGATCTTCTGTAGAAATTGCCGAACTGCTTTCTCCTGATGGAAGAAAACAAAAAAGGTAATACTAAGTTATCACAGGTGGTGAAATTTACATGTTATACCCAGATGTCACAAAGTATCCACAAATTAAAATTTACTACAAAAGTGTAGTATTTAAAAAATTTTTATGACTTGGATGGCTCAAGGTCTAATTATCTCCCAACTTATTCTTTTTTCAGATAATTTCATATTAAAGTTACTTTATCAAGAAATTAACAAAGGACTATTAATACCAAAAGCACTTGGTTATTATGTTACAAAACACTGCCTGATACATGTAAGAAATGTTATAACTACTATATTCCTTTAATAGCAACTGAAAGAACAAAAGTAAGCTATTCTACATTTGAAGACAGAAACTAGCTTACCTAATTGGAATATACTATTAGTAGATCTGATGTCAGTCACACTCTTTAATAATCTCTCTTAATGTTTTTGATTTGTGTGTGCATATGTGTGTGCTGAATTCTCACTGTAGCAATAAAAACCACAAAGTTTACCAGAAATGTCATATATTTGGTAACTCATATCTTCGGGTCCTAAAATCATTCCTTCAGCTGGTTCTTCAATGCCAGTAGTATTTCTTGTGGTTTCACAAGATGGAGAATACATTATTTCATATTCTTTACACATATCTTCTGAAAGCTCTGTACTGCCTGTATTGAAAGTAAACAGAAATTATTTTAATCCTATCTCCAGAAGCAGTATAGTATGTCTTCTATAACAGGAGTTCAAGGAATTCTACTAGATGGGAAAATGTCCACATGATTTTATTTTTTTTTTTTTGCAGCACTGGAGATCAGGCCAAGGCCTTGTGCATACTAGAAAAGCACTCTACCGCTGAGCTGCATCTCTAGCCTAGAAAAATTTTTTTTGGTACCAGGGATCGAACTCAGGTCCTTGTGCTTGTGGGTCAGGCAGCAGCACCACTGAGCTAAATCCCCACCCCCTAGAATTTTTTTTTAACTGAGTAAGAAAGGACAAATCGTTGTCCACCCCCCCCCACACACAAATAAACTTAGAGCCTCATGCACACTGAGCCAGATCTTCAGCCCTTTCTTTGCTGTTTTTTGAGACAGGATCTCTCTATGTAGCCCAGGCTACCCTCAAACTCAGTGATTCTCCTGCCTCAGCCTTCTGGGTGCTGGGATTACAGACATGTGCCACCAAGACTGGCTCCTAGCCCTTTTCTAAAAACAATTTTGAGACAGGGTCTTAGTTAACTCAAGCCTCCCTCAAATTTGCAATTCTACCTCAGCCTCCCAAGTAGGTAAAATTACAGCCATGTGCCTCAGTGTCTGGCTCCACAAGGTTTTAAATAGTTATATTTACTTAAGTGGGGGCATGGTGCTGCACCCCTGTAATCCCAGCATTTGGTAGCCTGAGGCAGGAGAATTGCTGTTGAGTTCTGAGAGCAACCTGGGCTACATAGAGTTCAAAGTCAGCCTGAAGGGGCTGGGGATTTAGCTCAATGGTTCCACTCACTGCCTGCCTTGCAAGCACAAGGTCCTGAGTTTGATCTCCAGTAGCAAAACAAATAAACAAACAAAAAAAATGATATTGGTAGGATTCAAAGTCAGCCTGAACTACATAGTGAGACTCTATCTCAGAAACAAAACAAAACTTTACTTAACCTTACCCAAGGCAGGTAACTTTTGGCCATTACAGATAAACTTAAAATGATTAACAATAACTAAAACTTTTACATCACTATGCATCAGTCTGCTTCATGTACCTGATACACTTAATTTTGAGAAAATCCTTTGCTATAGGCACTTATCATGTTTTGATGGAGGAAACTAGTATAAAAGTCACGTGCCCAAGGTCAAATAGTAACTAAATTGCAAAGCCAATGATAGTAAACTATAGCCAAGTGTGGTAAAACATACTTGTAGTTCTGGTATGGATATAAGCTACTCAAGAAACTGAGGTTAGATGACTAACTGGGTGATCAAAAGTTCAAGGCCAGTCTGAATAACTTAGAACATGTTTCAAAATAAACTAAAAGGGGCTGAACTGTAGCTAAATGATAGAGCACCTGCCTAGAATGCATGAGGCCCTGGATTCAGGCCTTAGTGCCACAAAAACAAAAATAAAAACCTAAATAATAAAGTATAAATGATAAATGTATTTTAAATGCTGGACCCCAAGATACAACTACTATGAAATTAGTGACAATCCATTCATGTTGAGTATAAATAAGAATTGTATATGAAATATAACTTCTCAAATAAACAAAGGATGTATCCAAAGTTCTATATACTTGTTTGGCCATAGATTTAATCAAAATATAATTCTTCCCATGAAATATTTAGGCCTTACCCTCAGTCTGAGACCCTGAAGTGGCTGCTGTTTCAGGCCAAGAGCTTTCAGTTCCTTGAGTTACAGGAGTGGCATCAGGATTTCCAGGAGGAATTTCTTGCCATACTTTGGCATTAGGATTTAAACCAGTCCCTTTAGATGTTACCTGCTAGATAATCAAAGGATGTATTTGTAAAATTTAAAAGTGGGTAGAGCAAAGTCACAAATGTAGATAATGGGCTTTCCCATTACTTAAATATGAAGAAACTTAAATAATTTAATTCTAATAAATACTATCTATATAACAAATATTAAAGTACCTATATAATTTTTTAATTTAAAAATAAACTTGGGCCGGGGATTTAGCTCAGTGGTTCTGGCACACACCTTGCAAGCACAAGGTCCTGAATTTGATCCCCCATACCAAAAACAAAAACAAATACTGCTTTATACCATCCTACTTGAAAATTCGCATAAAATTTATTCAAACCATTCACGTATCTTTGAAACATTAGAATGCTCTTATTCTTGTGTATCTAGAGCAAATTTTTGGTTATCTATAACAATCTTCCAGAGCTACTTATTTATTTGGGTTTTTTGAGTGTCTCACTATGTAGTTCAGACTGGCCTTGAACTCACTATGTAGCCTACACTGCCTCCAAACTTGTGGTGATCTTCCTGCCTCAGCCTCTCAAGTGCTGGGATTACAGGTATGTGGCACCATGCCTGGCTTTAGAGCGTATTATTTTTATTGCCATTGTAAATGTGACAAAAACCTTGAGTCTGAATGATCCTATCACTGGAAATATTATCTCAAGTCAAGAGCAGTCATCTGGCCAGGTGTGACTGGGGCATACCTGTAATCCTACCTACTAGGGAGGCTGAGGCAGGAGGATCACAAGTTCTAGGCCAGCCCAGAAAACTTAAAGAGAATGTTATCTCAAAATACAAAATAAAAAGGGTAGACTATAGCTTAGTGGTAGAGTACACCTGAGTTCAATCTCCAGTATCAACAAAAAAAGGGATTTGTAGGAGACCAGATGGGAAGAATGAGGCCTAACTGGCCTCCTTGGCGAGGACTGAGAAGGGGGCATGCAAGTGTGCTGACACGCTGCATGGAAAAGTAACACACCTGAGGTTAAGTTGTTTACCTGGACAAGTACCATGGAGGGTGGGAGACAGACGAATCCTGTGTAACTGTAATTGCTTGTGCCTGTGTCTGAGCGAGTAAAGCCAAGGTGCACCAGTCACTCGGGGCTCTCTGTTGCAGGGAAACAATGAGCTCCCTGGCCCTCCAGATTTTAACTTGTTTCTGCATCCATTTATTTTTCATTCTCGTCACCTGTTGGTCAGGTTTGAGCTCTTAGGCTGGTTCCTACAGTGATGTGTACTTGTTTTGTACAGAAGTGTATACTCTTATTGCCCACAGTATAATTATTTGAAGTATTTTATTTAAAGTGGCCTTCTTCAGGGCTGGCGATTTAGCTCAGTGGTTTCAACACCTGCTGCGCAAGCGCAAGGACCCAAATTCAATCCCCAGTACTAAATACATAAATAAATAAAGTGGCCTTTTACACCTGTTACCTAATCACAAAAACACAAAGGTAAAAAGCAGACACTGAGAATGGGGATTGGGTGAGGAAGGGAGAAGAGTACGAAAATGGAGACACTGAGGAAGGAAGAGAGAGAAGATTGGGATGTACAGACACCCTTCTCTCACCTCATTTGACCAAACAGGACTTAATCCTTCTGAAATACATTAATGATATCGTGAAAAGTTCATCCCTCTCTAGCAAGTCACCTTTAACTGTCTTCTCAGCCACAAACCCCTCCCCTGGATAGCAAGAACAAGAGGGTAGATCAAAAGGGCAGGGAATTAATTATCTCATTTATAATATACAAGATATTGAACAATACTAGGAGGTTGTCATAAACTCTCTTCCTGAGGAGATTCTTACAAATGATCCTAGCTTACAGATTAAAAACAAAACAAATTCAGCCTTTAAGGTATCACCAACACCTAAGTATGTTTAAAAATGCTAAGAATGTGTAGGTAGAACTGCAGAACTCCTAGACAAAGTTGCTGACTTAAGATTCAGCTTCTGAGCGGTCTACTTCCTATAATTATGCTGCAATAAAATTCTCCCACCTCTTCTAATAAACAGATTTTTCAAAGTGAGTTTGAATGAGTTTCCATATGGTACAACATAACTTACATATTTGAACCAATGAATCAATATTGTTTAATTACACTTTACTGCTTGACATTGTTTTTTTATTGCTTATCAACTGAAAAGTTCTGACAATCTGGGAAAAAAGATCAGATGCAACACCATCTCCCTTGTTCAAGTTCATTCATATTTCAGGGACGACAGCTAAAGCCTCCTAATGTTGATGGGTAGTACAGTTATTTTATCATTAACACTGGTCAGAATTTTCAGGCCTAGGAAAAGTTGTTAAGTTACCAAGGCTGGAATTGAACTCCAGGATCCTCCTGCCTCAGGTTCCCTGAGTGCTGGGGTTATATGCATGTGTCACTATGCCCAGCTCCTCACAAGGATTTTTAATTAACAAGCGTTTCTACGTATTTATACACATAATCTTCCTTCTTTCTCCAATTCTGAGAATACAAGATATGTCCCTACCCAAGAAAACAGCAAGACTCTATAAACAGCTCTCAGGAAGAGATATCAAATTTCTGAATCTTGATAAATAAAAAAATTACAATATTCATTTAATGAATAAAATCTGTAACTGAGAAAAATACAGTTCAAGAGCAATATACCCAGAAATACCCCTAACCCACAGGATTGCTGTATGGTACTTCAGTAAAGCAAAATAGTTTTTCTCCCTTTTTATGGTACCGGAGATCGAACTCAGGACCTTGTGCTTGGGAGGCAAGTGGAACCACAGAGCTAAATCCCTGGCCCATTTTTTTCAATTATTACTTAAACATAATGATTGAGACTCTAGAAATCACACCTGAATTCAAAACAACTTGAACACAAACTTGGGAACAGAGAAACTAATTCATTTGAGCCTCAAATGCAAATTGAAGAATTCCTTATTTTAACAACTAAACTACTTGATAAACAGTTAAAGCTCAGTATAAACACTTCAACCCCCTCCCACCACAAGAATAGTGCTTAATTTGATATCAAGCATTTTGGGTCTTTTTTGTTGCTTTGTTTTTCCCCAACAGTGTTGGAGATCAGATCTATAACCTCAGGCATGCAAAGCAAGCACCTACCACTGGGCTACATCCCCAGGCCTTTTTATTTTACTTGTGAGACAAAGCCTCACTGAATTGCCCAGGCTGGCCTTGAAAGTGCATACCTCCTGCCTCACTTTCGAGTAGGTGCAATTTCAGGTGGGTGCCATGGCACCCAGCTTCGGTATCTTTTTATAAAGCATGTTAGTTTTGAATGGAAAGCAACTCTCCTGTTTCACTTTCAAAAGTACACACAAACACTAATGCGTTCCATCAAAATAACTGCAAAGTGAAGTTAAATGTAAAAACTTAACTTTGAGGGCCGTAGATTTAGCTCAGTGCTTCCACTGCCTGCTTTGCAAGCTCAAGGTCTGGAGTTCGATCCCCCGGTACCAAAAAAACCAAACCAAAACCAAAACAAAAACAAACTTAACTTTGAAAAAAGGGGCAAAATCACATGACTATAGAATATAAAACTTCAACAAAAACTTTAAATTGTGACCAGGAAAATGAAAATCAAAAAGGTAAACAGACACAATAGGAAAATAAAAAGTACCATTTTATACTTCTTACATTACCAAAGCACCTGAAAATAACTCCCAGACTAGAATAAATATGGCAAACATCCTTTAGTGGAGACTGTACAAAATGGTGAGACTCATATTCCCACATACTAGCACTGTTTATAAAAGTCAAGAAATAGGAATAAACCAAAGTCAGTAAGAAATTGTGATATATTCACTAGATCACTCACAGCTATTCAAAATTATAATCACATTTCATAAAACCTGAAACCATATGCATATTACAAAGAAAAAAAGCAGTTCATTAAGTTGTGACACATCAAATATTTTAGAATGTATCCCAGTTTTCAGAGAAATTAAAATGTACATTTTAGGATCAATAAATACCAAATTTGAAAAGTGCTTTTACATAATGGAGGGGGAAAACCCATAACCACCATAATAACAAAAATTTGTTAGGCAATTCTGTAGTCTAGGCAGTACTCCTTCAAACAACACTTATACCAGTATAGCTACTCTACAGATGACCCATTTTGAGACACATACACGCAGAAAGGAAGCTGGGGATGCAGCTCCCTGGTGGAGAACATGCTTACCTTGCACAAGGCTCTCAGTCTGATTCCTATCACTACACACACAAAGAGGACGCACAGAATATAAAGTCAAGATCCAAATTCAGGAGGCCTGACTTCAGAAACAGTATTCACCACACAATGAATGCAACTCAATTACAACTGCAAGAAGTATATAGATATGGGATGGAAGGGAACATTATAAGCTAAATTATCCAGAGAATTTTTTACCTTATAAGCTATTACATTAAAATGCTGCTTAAGTTGGAGTCAAAAAATTATGAAACTTAGGGATAACAGCTAGGTGGTAAATAGGGCACTTGTCTTGTATGCTTAAGGTACTTGGTCTGTTCTATCCCCAGCAACCCCTGCCAAAATATGCGTACCCACACAAGAAACTTTAAAAAAAGATATGCAGAATCTACTGGATTTTTTTTTTTCAAACTAGAGTGTAAATGTCAGTGTCTAAATACATTATTTGTGTTTAGGTGTCCCCCCAAAGCCTCATGTGGATGAGGTGGGACTTTTTTTTTTCTGGTACCAGGAATAGAACTGAGGACCTTGCACTTGCAAGAAATGTGCTGTGCTACTGAGCTAAATCCCCAGCCCAGTGTCTAAGACATTAAAAATTTAGTTCTGTATGCCAATATTTACTTAAATTTACATAACTATTGACCATTTTCTTTGATCATCATCATCTTTTTTTTTGAAAAATGGTCTGCCATGTGGTTCAGGCTGACCTTGAACTCACTATGTAGCCTAGGGCGGCCTTGAACTAGCAGTAATCCCCTGCCTCAGCCTCCTACATGGATTTTACAGGCGTGTACCACCAGGCGCCTGATCATCATTCCTTCTTGTATCT